TTCTTTAAGCCAAAAGGAAGCACACAGTAGTTATAAAGCCCATTAGGTGTCACAAATGCTGTTATCTGCCTCGCTTCAGGTGACAAGGGTACCTGATAATAGCCCTTCAGTAAATCGAGTACAGTAATAAACTTAGACTCCCCAATGGAATCTATTATATCCAATATTCTAGGTAAAGGATAACAATCCCCTTTTGTGAGCTCATTGACCCTTCTATAGTCTGTCACCATTCTCCAACCCTTAGATTTTGGCACGAGTGCACAGGGTGATGCCCACTCGCTCTCACTAAGTTCAGCAAGACCATTTTTGAGCAGAAAGCTTACCTCCTCTTCCATAATTTTTTCCTTATAAGGAGACATTCTATACGGTGCTTGTTTGACAGGGATAGCCCCCTCTACCAGCTTCACGTCATGGGTCACCAGGTGCGTCTGTCGTGGCACATCTCCAAGAACATCACTAAATTCCTGGAGTACACACAAGATATCTTGTTGCTGTTCGTGGGGTAAATGAGAAAATTTAGAGGCTGTTTTTTTCAAGATGTCACTGTTTTGCAATTTGAACCCAACATCGCCGACAACAAATTCACTTTCCATCTCATTTGAAATAGTTGTATCTCCCCGCTCCTCAGGACCAGAGATCACACACAAAGCAGTCACAGCATCTGGTCTGCGCGAATGATATTTCTTAAGGAGGTTGATGTGAACTACCTTTTTCTTTTTCCTGCGACCTGGAGTAGCAATTATATAATTAATGTCATTAATTTTCTCCAGTACTTTGAAAGGTCCCTGATATTTAGCAGTTAATGGTTGTTTTCTAACAGGTAAAAACAGTAGCACTTTTTCCCCGACAGCAAATTCTCGTTCAGCTGCCTTCCTGTCATATATTTCCTTCATTGACCACTGTGCACTTTCTAGATTCTCATGAGCAAATTTTTGAAGATGTTGCAACCTGGTTTTCATTTTTTCCACATAATCACTTAGACACACTGAATTTTCCATACCTATCCAGCTTTCATACAACAATTTCATGGGTCCGCGGATGTCTCTCCCAAAAAGCAATTCATATGGTGAAAACCCTAGGCTCTCCTGCTTAGTACATCTTATAGCATACAGCATTAAAGGCACTCCTAGATCCCATTCATTACCTGTTTCCTGACAATACTTCGTGAGCATACTCTTAAGTGTCTGATGGTACCTTTCAAGGGCACCTTGCGTCTGTGGCCGATAAGCTGTGGCACTATACTGCTTAATGTGTAATAATTTCATTACTTCCTGAAACATTACTGACCAAAAATTGCTTCCCTGATCTGACTGTAATACACGTGGCATACCATATTGTGTAAAAAAATTGATCAAGACTGGGACAATAGTACGAGATGTAGCTCGTTTTAAAGGAATTGCTTCAGGATACCTAGTACTAGCACACATGAGAGTAAACAAAAACCTATTTCCGCTCTTTGTTTTAGGAAGAGGTCCAACACAATCAATGATTACCCTTGAAAACGGTTCCTCAAATGCAGGAATAGGCTTAAGAGGTGCAGGTGGAATAACTTGGTTAGGTTTACCAACCCTTTGACATATGTCACAAGTTCTGCAGTATCTCGTTACATCTGACTTAACACCTGGCCAGTAGAAATATCTGATGACCTTATCAAGTGTCTTCTTGATACCCAAGTGGCCTCCACCTAAGTCGTGAGCCAAACCAATAACTTTAGATCGATAGCAAGTTGGTACCACCACTTGAAAAACTTCATTCCACGAATCGGTTGCTGGTACTTCAGGGGGTCTATATTTCCTCATCAATATCCCAGTATTTAGATAATACCCAGATGACAGTGACTGAATTTCTGATTTCGACATGGCTGCATTACGTAGTGGCATTAGGGATTCGTCAGATTTCTGAGCTTCAATTAACATCCTGCTTGTTATAGGAATCTCATCAATGTTAACTACTTCCCCAATATCATCAATTTTCTCAGTAGAAACTTCAATACTATTTACCTCAACAGCAGCTTCATCGCCATTTACCTCAACAGCAGCTTCATCGCCATTTACCTCAACAGCAGCTTCATCGCCATTTACCTCAACAGCAGCTTCATCGCCATTTACCTCAACAGCAGCTTCATCGCCATTTACCTCAACAGAAGCTTCATCGCCATTTACCTCAACAGAAGCTTCATCGCCATTTACCTCAACAGAAGCTTCATCGCCATTTACCTCAACAGAAGCTTCATCGCCATTTACCTCAACAGCAGCTTCACCACCATTTACCTCAACAGCAGCTTCACCACCATTTACCTCAACAGCAGCTTCACCACCATTTACCTCAACAGCAGCTTCACCACCATTTACCTCAACAGCAGCTTCACCACCACCAAATAGACAATCCAGACTAAGATCATCCTGCCTAACATCTCCAGCAGAAAGCCTTGGTAACTTCTTCGCCTGGCTTCTCGTTACAGCACATGCTGGAAAAAGTCCTGGATTATTTCTTGCAACATCTACAGCAGGATCATAAGCAACTGGGGATGGACAAAGAACAGGATCAGGCAGAACTCGAATCCCCGCAATATCATTCCCCATTAGAAACGATACACCCTTAATAGGCAATGAGTCATGAACACCAACTATAACAGATCCACTCACCAAATCCGTCCTTAGATACAACTTACATAGGGGCACTGTAACACACCCTCCAAAACCTTCCACTACTACGAATTTCCCAGTGTATGCCTTTTCCACAAAAGGAACTGCCTCCTTCAAAATGACACTGTGTGAAGCACCAGTATCACGAAATACAGACACAGGGACAGAAGAACCAGCTTCATCTAAGGCCACGGAACCAGAAAAGATGAAAGGATGAAATGAATCATGATCATCAACCGAGGGACGCTGCGGCAGATCCTGGACATTGTCTGTTGGTACAAAGGTATAATTAGCTACAGGTTTAGGCTCTGAAACTTGTCCCTTCCTCACTAACTTGGGACAATTTGCCTTAATATGGTCTATTTTCTTACAGTAAAAACATCCAGACGACCATCCTGAACCCGTACCTTTACCATAGCTACTTCTCTTTGCCACAAAATCAGAATTCATGCTATCCCGCCCAACAGACTTACCATCCACAGACGGAGCGAAAGCGGAGGGGTGAGAGTATTTATTTATATTTACTTTACTTTTAGAAATCAGATTAAAATTCTCAGCTAACAAAGCTGCTCTCTCAACGGTGTTAACTTCACGCTCCAGCAGGTACATGCGAACTTCTGGCGACACTCCCCTTATGAATTGTTCCAACAGCATAAGTTCTTTTAATCTTTCATAATCACTAACATTGCTTGCAGATAACCAACGAGTTTGCAGTTTAGAAATCTTGTGCATATACTCTACAAATGACTGGTTATTATCTTTGACACAATTCCGAAATCGGTTTCTATAAAACTCGGCACTCAACTGATACGCTTTAAGAATCGCATCCTTCATGGTGTCATAATCGGACTGATGCGATCCAGCCAGAGAGAGATAGACAGAACGACCCTTCCCTTTTAGACTCGACTGAATAAGTATGGGCCAGTAGTCGCGTGGCCACTTCAGAGTGGCTGCCACGTGTTCAAACTGTCCGAAATATTCCTCAGGATCAGACTCGTCAAAATTTGGGACGAACTTAATTACTTTCGAGAGATCAAAATCATGCTCCTGCATCTGCAATTCCCTTTTCCTTTCCATTAATTGCAACTGAAAATTTCGCTCTCTTTCTCTGTCTTTTAACTTCTCTCTCTCCAACTCAATCTCCATTACCCGTAAACTCTTATCTTCAGGATCACACAGCATCAATGCGTTATCCTCAAGCAAGCCAGATGATACTAAATGAGTAATAACCGCTTTCTTAATTTCACTCTTGCGCCACGCTGCTCGAATTGTTACTTCAAAATGTCGAGCTAACTGAACCCAGTCGGCTTTCTTTACGTCACAATCCTCAATAGCCTCTAATGAAGGACTTTCCACAAACTCGTCGAATTTAAATGCGCTCATGATTACTGCAAATCGAATTAATAAAACATCCAAATAAGAAAACCTTTACAATGTTTCAGTCTCAGTTACGTTTGGTCAGGCCCCCATATGTTACATCTAGGTGTATGAATTGTTAATTATATACTAATGAAATTCCCTTTCTCTCATTATTCATACCACTCGTTATCATTTCTCTTTGTTTACGAGCATTATTCTTCGTAAAAATCAATTTCTTTCCAATAATAAGGAATCGAAACAAACTGTTGCCGATAACAAAAGTTTAATGAATACCACAATAGTGACAATCGTGTGCAATAAAGAAAACAAAAATATATGTACATAAAAGAATGCTGCAGTCTGCCGGAGCAGCCGTCTGGCAAATAATATAATATTTTAGCATTTGTACCTTTTATTATGTTTTTATTTCTTATCTGGATTGATGTTGGAACAAAACATATCTCTAGATATATATTTAACAAGTATTTAACATAAATATGGCCCTAGAAGTGCCCTTTCCACAAGTACCCGCAGAGAGCTCCTTACCTTACCACCGCTCCGCAGTCACTACCCATACCCAGAACTGTCAATCACAGCTGATCATTAGAAAACGGGAATACTTTGGAAAACGTATTTCCATGGTTAACTTTTCTGTATTTTAGCAAAGTAGAGTTCCGTATATTTTAGGACTCTGTAACAATATATATATATAAAAGAATGATTAGAAGGAGGTTAATAAGAATAGTAGGCGGGGAAAGGGAAAGGAACAGGGGGAAGAAAGGGGGGGAGAGGGAGAAAGGGGGGGGAAGGGAGCTGAACGAGAAGAAGGAAATAGGAAAGGAAAAGGGGTGACATAAACAGGAAAAAAGGAAGGGGATAAAGGAGGGAATATAAGTGGGAGGGACAAACGTCTTTGAAAGGGAGGGAAAGAGGAAGGAAGATTTGGGAGTGAGAGAGAGTGAAAGGAGGAAAGGTAGAGGGAGAGGTTGAGGGAGT